TTGCACCCCCCACGCTACGCCACTGCCTGGGTCTGAAAAGGTTGGAGATACATGTTCTAAGATTCCCTGGGAGAAGGAAGGGACACAACTATTAAACTAGTTAAAGTTTGAGATGCCTGTACATACACATTATGTGAGCCAGTGTGTGGTGTAGTGGTTAGAGAGTCGGACTAGCACCTGGGAGACTAGGGTTTAAATCTTGGTCATGAAGCTCACTGGGTAACCTTGAGCCAGTCATTGCCTCTCGGCCTACTCTACCACATAGGATTCAATGAGGAGTGTATACCACCTTGAGAAGGTGAGATATACTGGTAAATGCAATTAATAATCGGCATTAGCTTCTTATAGTAATAGTAAACTCAGTTATATGAGTGTGGATCTTCATGTAGCCAAAATGACAGTATTGAGACACAGGTGGGAGTTATCACCAGACTTCAGGGTACTCTAAGGTTTGGAGCTCTACACAACATTTTTATAAGAAATCTAAGGGGGATCCTTTCCTCCAAAACTCCCCAGCTCAGTACACTTTCTGGTTGGTTGTTGACGGGGGAATTAAAAATGGAGGTGGTGGTAGTGGAATGGAATATCCTGGACGATATCCTGACTGACTGACTGACTGACTGGAACACTGAACAGAAATGGGACCTTGCCATGTAAAATGCAGCAAGGCCATTAATTTTCTCAATTTGCTTGGGGGACAAATGCATCAAAACACAGTATTTCATAAGAAATGGACTGTGGCTAATGTCATATGTACAGCACTTGCCAAACCAGCGGTGGGAGTGCATGGATGCAGAGTAAATGGAAATGTATACACAATCCACATCTGAAAAGATAAAAAATAATAATACTGGTGTAGTGGATAGTATGTTGTACTTGAATTAGGACCCAATTTCAGTTCACTGTACAGTGGTACCTTGGGTTAAGAACTTAATTCATTCCGGAGGTCCGTTCTTAACCTGAAGCACCACTTTAGCTAATGGGGCCTCCAGCTGCCACCGCGCCGCTGGAGCACAATTTCTGTTCTCATCCTGAAGCAAAGTTCTTAACCCGAGGTACTATTTCTGGGTTAGCGGAGTCTGTAACCTGAAGCGTATGTAACCTGAAGCGTATGTAACCCAAGGTACCACTGTATAGCTGAAAGTTTCGCTGGTGGCCTTGGAAAAGCCTTTCCTGCCCCACACTGGGTTGCTGCCAGAATAAAATAGCGTAAGCCCATGTCAACTGTTCTAAGGTCCTTGGAGGAAAAATGCAAAATAAGATAAATAAATTGGATTTATTTATTTTTTTAAAGAAGAGGAACACACCCTAAGATGTTATACTGTGATCTTTAGGAAATTTATCCCAGGTTAGCCCTACTGATTTTAGTGAGATTATTCATTTCACTGTAAACTAAGGATAGATCAGGTGTGAGAAATCAAACATTCCTACAGGTCTAGAGTCCTATCTACATTATTCATTTCAAACACTATCATACAACAGCCATGGCCTCTTCCAAAGAATCCTGGAAACAGTAGTTAGAGTGCCCAAAGTTATTAAGAGATCCCTACTCCCCTCACAACAGGGATGCGGGTGGCGCTGTGGTGTAAACCACTGAGCCTAGGGCTTGCCGATCAGAAGGTCGGCGGTTCAAATCCCCACGACAGGGTGAGCTCCAGTTGCTCGGTCCCAGCTCCTGCCCACCTAGCAGTTTGAAAGCACACCAGTGCAAGTAGATAAATAGGTACCGCTCCAGGGGGAAGGTAAACGGCGTTTTCGTGCACTGCTCTGGTTTCGCCAGAAGTGGCTTAGTCATGCTGGCCACGTGATCCGGAAAAACTGTCTGCGGACAAACGTCGGCTCTCTCGGCCTGTAAAGTGAGATGAGTGCCGCAACCCCAGAGTCATTTGCACCCAGACTTAACTGTCAGGTGTCCTTTACCTTTACCCTTTTTTTACTCCCCTCACAGAACTACAACCCCCAGAGTAATTTAACAATCAATCCCTCTTCCCAGGGAATTGTGGGAATTGTGGGCTCTGGGAAGAGAATAGGAATCTCCTAACAGCTCTCAGAACCCTTAACAAACTACATTTCCCAGGATTCTTTGGGGGAAGCCATGCCTCTTTTAAGCAGTATGAGAGTGCTTTATATGCAGAGTGCAGATGTGGCTTATGATTGGCTGCACTTAGGAGGTTGTGTAGGCGACCCTAAGTGGTGTGTGTAGTTTTGTTAAAGCAGCAAATGGGAAGGCTGAACTTGAATAACATTAGTACAGTATGTCAAAATAAAATAAACAAACAAAAACAAATAAACTGTCCAGTAGCACCTTATAGACCAACTAAGTTTGTTCTGTAATAAGTTTTTGTGTGCCTGCACACTTCTACAGATTTTTTGATTTTTTGATTTCGACTGCGTCAGATCAACACAGTTACCTACCCGAAATTAGTATGTCCATATCCATAAATCAAGGTTCATAGAAGGACCCCCCCAATAGCAACCCAGGCTCCAGAAGGGGTAGGTAGACAGAGAAGGCATCAAATTGGGAACAGGGGAGGATGAACCTGAGTTCTGATCTCTGAAGCCCATAGAATCAAACCCATTATCTTTCAAATCCAGTGCACGAAGGAAGAGGACAACTTCTACCTAGGAATGAACATAGGTGGCCATTTATCAAGTATTAATTTACTGCAGTGTCCATGTGGCAAGTTGGTTAGTCAGCCATTTGTAATATTTGTTCTTGATGAAGTGAAGTACGTTTCTAGCTTGCATCTGCACTATAATCAGGAATCTAGGGAAGCAGGAAGTGCTAAAATTCCCCTTCCCACTTCGCCCGATGATGTTAGGGATGATGTTAATTTTTTGGGAAACGTATTCAGCAATGTTTAAAAATGCCTCAGTTTTGTTGAGAAATTTTCAGCGATGCTTATGAAGTCACAAGCACTGTACCCAGTGCTTTTTTTTCCTTAAAAAAACACTGTTTAGGGGTACTCTCATTTTCCTACTCATATTGAAATAGTGCCCCTCAATGAGGCCAAACTTAGATTCACAAAATGTTCAGGGCTATGCGTACCCCTGTGTTCTCCCCAGAAAAAAGCACTGACTGTACCTTTGTCTGTGATATTGGTTTAATATGTACTTTGCTTTTGTAAATTTCTTTTAATGTAAGAGGTGTAGAAATATTATAAAACAAATCCCCCCACCAAATGTCATTTCATTTAATTTCTCCCTCCCACTCTCTCAATGGACTTTATTTGCCCTTGGTGGTGTCACTATGCAGGATCATAGTGGTTTCCAGCTCACTGTGTGATCTCTCATTGGCTGGAATCATGCTTGTGTTTAAGAAGAAAGAAGCAGTAACTAGGTGGGGGAAGGGATATTATTGATGCAGCGGCAGCAGCCAGGAAAAGCAATGGCACCAAACAGGATCAAAATAAGGTCACTACTCCACAATGTGTTTTTCTATGTACCACCCATTAAATTGCTGCTTTCAATCCAAAATATGAGACTAGAGGATGTTTGGTAGTTGTTAGTTCATTTTCATTTTATTTTGAAATTCCACACCTCCTTTCTACATTATTGTTCTAGGGGTTTAGAGCCTATAGATATGGCAAAGTACACACACACACACATCCCGCATGGTCCTCCTGTGTCAATCCAACTGAGTACTGGCATATGCCTGATGGGAAATCAACCTTCCGGTTGATTTCAGGCAAGACAGGTGTACAAAACTTGCGGTGATATTGGGTACAATCCCATCTTCCACAGAAGCCAAAGCTCCCATAGATTTGAAAGGACCTGAATTGCATCCATTGCTTGGAAAACCACTGTTAGTGTTGAAAGCCACCCACAAGAATAGCTTTCCCAATGCAGAAGTGCTGTTGTTTTCTCTATATTCTGCCACAAACCAAGTAGTTGTGATATTAGCATGCAAAGAATGAAAACACAACCCACATCTCAGGGTGAATAGCTGATTCTCTTCATGCCAATTTCCTTTCATTTCTCTTTGACAGAGTGGGCCTTTAAAAGCTCTACACCTTAGCCAGCTTTTTAAGATGTAGGCTCTTTGATGATCGAGCCCTAATGAATTTGTTTTGTCACCAATAAATCAGAATGAATAGGGGCTCCCTGTCCTGTACTTTTCAATGCTGCCACCATAGTTTCTTGAAGAGGGTTGACGTATGACAATAGCAAGCTAGCAAATTAACATGCTGGTATTAACCAAGCAGTGCCCTGTATAAAGTTGCAATGGCCTTGGTGCTTGCAAAGTGTTCGATTACACATGATCCTGGGCAGTGTTGGATATCCTTTGTTTTGCTTATTGGCCTCAGAAAATATTTACCTGCACTGCAATTCTTTAAGCTGCTGAACCAACAGGCACTGGTATTTTCCCCATGGGTGTGATACGAAAAGGCCTCAGTGCCCTTTGATTAAAAGTAACTTCAGTTGAACAGAATATGTTGATCCTTAGAAATTGGTTCTTGACATTTCCTAGCCTCGGCGGGATGTGATCAATACAGTTATGTATTACCAGTTCTGTTGTTTTTACACATCTGCTTCTACAGTCTGTTTTCTAAATGCCTAGGATGTCAAAGATGTAGGTATATGTGTATTGGTGTATATACTGGTAGTTTATCTATATCTGAAAATGACTGTCAGGATACTAAAATATGAACTTTTAGCATATGGTTTCAGAGAAGAGACTAATTCAGAATCACAGTGTACATTTTCTATCCTATAACCCACTCAAATTCACTTTCTTGCTCAGTTTTGCCAAAGTACTGTTGTTGTGGTTTCTATCTTCCCTGCTTTTTGAATGTTTATGGATGGAGTAAGTCTCCATTAGTGTGGCAACCCAACATGGAACCATTCTGCATTAATGAATCTAATTATTTTAAGTGTGATCTTTTGCTTGCACCCTTCTATCAATCTTAGGATGTGTGACATTATTTGACAAAATGTCCCAATAGCAGCTACGCAGGTAAGGCTAAATAATGTTTAATATTGGTCATATTTTGTTGTAGGAACATCCATGTGTATCACAAGGGCAGCACTTCTACCAAGACGTTCCTTTGCATCCTTGGATCCTTGACTGGGGAAAAAAAAGAATGAAGCTCCTGGATCGGAGCTTACATCACTCAAAATACTGGCCTGGGAACTCAACTACAGAATTGACCTTCTCAATGAGGAATAATTCTATATAAGTACTTTATGAGTAAATCTGGAGCTGTAGCTGGTCACTTGGATATGAAGCAGAAGATTCAGTACGGGTCAGTCATCCTGAAACAGGCATTTTTGGGGTAATACTTAAGAGTTGTCTACATACATAATGTTTCTACTTTTGTATATATGATGGCTAACCCTAGGGAAGAATTAGTAAAATTTAATTTCATCCATTGTCAAAAGGGTGCCATGTGAACTGGATGTGTACAATACTGCTTTTGTACACCCCCTTTATCCTGTGCATTGTTCCTTGTATTATGTTGTTGTTATGGCTACAGCTAAGATAATAAACTTGTAATGAACTTGGCACAGAATTTACAACCTTGTTGAATTCGAAAAACAGTGGGATGAACAGCGAGATCTCAGCACCAGGCTGCATGAGCACTTCAGCGGGTGGTGAAATGGGATGATGTTTGTGATGTGGGTTATGCTTTGTGAACATTTCAGAGCAGCTGAACGACCATCTTCTGCATGTGGTATATTTTAAGTATGCCCTCCTTTCATTAACACTACTGATGTATGTCTTTGGGAGGCTTGATAGTTGTTGAAATCTCACACATACCAGAATACATCAATCATTGGCAGGAACTATGAAGCCAATAAGACACTCTAGCTTATAGAGTCCATGCACCAGAATGACCATCCTAGCCTACATTTCTGCCTCTGCAGTTGTTAGCAGGTTTGACTTTACCAAAATGAGACATGAAGTAGTTGCTTTAGGCCAGTATATTCCTCCTTCCAGCCTTCATGTCTATGTGTCAATCTTTTTCCTTTAAGGATGTCATTCTGAACTTTTGCTTCAGTTGTGAAAATATCAAAGTTTGGTGCTGTGTGCTGAGTTCACAGAACTGAATCAGCATGCACACAAGTTGGGTTGTGTTTGGCTCACTGTGCCTCAGCCCACAATGAGAGCAGCACTGGTTGAGTTTCCGTTTCTGGCAAGGCCAGTGCGGCCACACTCTGCGGGCGCTGGATGAAAAGCCATTGTGCTGAATTGCTTGTGCAAATAGATGTTAGATGTATTGTGTGTGTATCAGATTCTCTGTCGATGAAATATTGTTATTACTCATGGGCAAGCCATTATTTTCCTGAAACTTCTTGAAATATTTGCATTCTTTTGCCAACTTCTTGTTCATTGGCAACATCCAGTCACTGGCAATATTTGCATTGCTTTCCATGAATCTTAATTACATCCTAGGGATCTTTCACACTTTACACAGCAGCAACCCAAGTTTGCCCCCAAATATAGTCCAAAGAGCCCCAGTGAGTTAGAGGTGCCTGATGGATTTACCTTTGACATACACATGTTTGCTGAATTCAACCATTGCTTTTATAAATGTACACTTAAAAGTTCTACCATGTTGCACCTTAAAATAAAAAAAATACTATGGACCCTAGATAGTGTCTTAAAAATGGACGTGAGACTTCATTTTCATTCTGCTTTCTGATTCTCATTTCTGATCAAAGATGGACTGTATGGTGTGATGCTTGAAAGCTTGGTCAGTTTCACCAGCTGAATTCTGTGCAGTGATAATTCTGTTTCGGTCATTCTCTGGGACTAATGCTGTACTGCAAGAAAACACTGGAATGACACAGAGGCAAATTTTCTTAGGTGCTGGAGTCAAAACTCCCTATGTTCACTGAGAAGGACACTCTACCTACTCTTTGACCCACGATTTATACACTGGCAATTTAACTATTCCCTTTATGGGTTTATGCATCTGTTTTCCATTCCTATCCAGTACTGTAGTAGCAAAAGAGTTTACTCCACATGCACTAAAAATAATAATATAAGGTGTGGGGGTTGCATGTTAAGGCACCTGCTTTAACATCTGCACTGTGTAAGCAGTAAATATGTTCTACAGCCTTACGTATTGTGATTACTTACAGCTTAAATGTCCATGCACCCAATACTTTCAGTCCCAATACTTTTAGTCACCAAGTCTGAGGGACACTGATGTTCAGGATACCATGGGGGCAATAGCCACCTAGCCATACATTAATCCCATGTTTTTCCTATTTGCTTTCATTTGGGTTAGAGAGAATAGCATAGGTTTTTAAACAAGATCGGTTTCTATGCATATCAGATATTCAAAAATGTTTATGAGTTTCTGTCACAGCAAGGTGACTTGTATTTAACTTCCTATAAAATTATCTGGGGAGGACTTTAGCCATATGTGTACAGTTGTTGGTGGGCTATTTTGTTTACTGTTTTTATACAAAATATATGTTTTCCAAAAAAGAAAAGAAAAGAAAAAAGAGGCGGGAAAACTCATGGCCTCACCTAAGCAAATCACTTTGATTTCCCTAGGAAAACCATGTCTGCATTCAAAGCGTTTAAGGCAAATCTATAAGGCCTGAGCTCAGGTCTCTCTCTCTCTCTGTTTTGGGTGTGTACACATAGGATTGAGATCTGAAATCCTGAAAGGGATGGGGGGAGAAGAACACTACTAAGACTATGTTTTGCTTTTCAATTTGTCTTTAATATAACTGGAAACAATTTTAAAATAACTAACATCTTTCAACAAGGAGTTAAAAGAAAAGAAAGGCACATTTCAGTCTTGCATATCTTACAAGGCAATTGGATTGAATTTCCTTAAAAGTTCAATTTTTTTTTTACACCCATACGAATGAGGGGAAGGCAATAAAGTACATCCTATAACTTTGCAATAAATCCCATCTCTGCATGCACCACCACCCAACCCTTTCATCTGCATAGCTACCTTGCCTGACTCAGCCTCTTCCAACTGGACTGGATGAGCTTGGGTTCAAATTCCAGCATTGCTGCTTTAAATTATATATTATATTAAATTATATAAAATATGAATTATATGATATGATATAATAAAGATGAAGGCGAGACTGAGAGCATTTTGCTTGGAGTAGTACTGTTGTTCTGCTCTACTGCCGACACCACTACTACCTTCATCGCAACAGCCTGCGATCTTTGTCGCATCTATCTTCAGAACACCATTGAGAAGTGAGTCACAATTCTACACACATGGACATGGGCCTGTCCTACTACAGTATATGGATTTTATACACTGGGAAGATGGGTGTGTGTTTGCAGGATAGCGACTCACTTCACGATGGCATTTTGAGGCTTGATCGTAGGCCATTGTCATGATGGCAGCATCATTTATTTATTTAATTGTTTATTTGTCAACAGCGGGTGCTGCTACTTGGGAGTTGCTGTTGCCAAAAGAGACAGGGGAGCATAAAATGACAAGATCCAGAAAAACCAGCTGAACAGCACCTTTATCACCAAGAAGTCCTCTGGCTTCTTCTATGGCACAGCTGCACAGGGAACTGAAGAAGACTCTCTTTGTGGCCCTTCCTCCTCTTCCTTTCCCTCCAAGCTGTCTCAAGACAGGGAAGACGATTCCATCATACACTCTCACACACAGTACCTCTTCTTGGAAGTGTCCGGCGTGTAGAGGGGGAGGGAGGGAGAGAGAGAGATCGCGAGGTATTTAAGGCACTCCAGACAATTGCTCATTCCGTAATGAGTTATTACTCTGCTGAGCCAAAGGTCATTAGAAAGGATAAGGGCGGCCATAAAAGCGGCCCAGCTAGCATGCTTTTCCTATAGAGATTATCATTATTGGCTTATTAATACGCGATAATGTTGAATTATACACGGCAATAAATAGGAAAAAGGTTGACTTGGAGTTTTAAATATTTTATTATTCTCAAAGCGAGCGTTCCAAGTAATGCAGGCTCGTTTCAAGTGACTGGAATAACCAGCCTAGCCCCAGACCCCTTTTTGTCTTATTTTTGGTTCAGTAATTGTTTGTTTTTACTCTGTTCTGGGATAGATAGATAGATAGATTAGATAGATAGATAGATAGATAGATAGATAGATAGATAGATAGATAGATAGATAGCCAACTGCAGTCCAACGCCCACTTTCCTGGAAGCAAGTTAGGAGAACACAGCAGGGTTTACTTCGGAGTAAGCAAGCCTAGGATCGCGCCGTTAATCTGTAAACACCAAGTGCATTTTATGAATCTCCCAAAACAGATTGGTCTGTCTGAGGTGGGCTGACTTTCATTCTTGCACGATCTACTTAATTTTTTTCCTAGGATCGTCCTGGCCCAGCGAGGTACTTTACACAGGGAGCGCGTAGGGTCCGACTCACTCAGGCATATTTAATTTGCTTCAAGTGATCTTGAAGATGCCCTCTTAGTTTTGTAAATGTTAAATACATCGTTGGGGCGCGGGGATTCGCGGGAGAGGTGTGTGTGCCAAGTTAAAGTTAGACCTTCTTTTAGGACACTCGGAAAGGAGACTTTTGCTTCCACGATTTATGCTTCAGTCCCTTTCTGGATCAGAGCACCGCCAGAACGGGTAGCATCCCTGCGATCAGCAGGTGCAAATCAGCCAATAGGGCATTTCAGTTTTTGAAAATCTTGCATTTCATCGAAAAACCACACCGACCATCTCCCTCAACTTTTCGAAACGAGGGAGGGCCTGCCTACCCCCTCTCTTTAACATAAATGTATGCTGCAAAGGGCATTTTAATTCTTGCCATTCTTTGAAATCCAGCGTGCTAGGTTTCTGGGCTCCTGAGTTTAACTTAAAAAAAGAGTAACTAGTTACCTGGAAGAAGGATGAATATTTTTTTAAAAAAGAAAAAGGAAATATCTAGGAAGGCAGCAAAATCTCTTATTTGGGAGTCAGTAAGCTCCACTGAACTTAGTCGGACTTTCTTGCCAGGAAAGATGCATAGAATTGGACTGCATGGTTTCTTTCTTTCTTTCTTTCTTTCTTTCTTTCTTTCTTTCTTTCTTTCTTTCTTTCTTTCTTTCTTTCTTTCTTTCTCCTTCTTTCCTTCTCTCTCTCTCCTTCCTTCCTTCCCTTTAGTACCTTAGAGCTTGTATTCGTGATGCACTCCTGCAAATATCTAGCATACATTATGTGACAAAGCCATAACTTTGGCTAGCAAACGAACTCCTCTGACATGCATCCCACTATCTCTAGAAATCATTACGCCCCCCTTTTAAAAAAATAAAATTAAAAAAGTAATGTGTTAAGCATAAATGAAAACTAATTCCGTTTCTTGTCAATAAGCGATTATGATAAGGAAACAATCCCCGGACGGGAACACAAACAATATTGCGTTGGTTCTGTTAAAGATCAGATCTCAGATAAGATCCTGGCAAAACCGTCAAGCGGTCCGGTCGATGTAAATCGCTTTGATCAAATGCCTCATAACTCTGCCCTCCCTCTCAAAAAAAACCCCTATAAGTTAATTTGGAAGTGAGGATGGGATGGAACAGCGATTTAAAAAACAACAACCCCACGCACTTCTAAATGTAAGCAGAGGCTAAACGATGTTTTAAATCCAAGTTAAAACGAAGTTACACATCGATGAAAAGGATTTGATTGTTTTTCTCGCCGCTGAAACATACATTAGAGGCCTGGCTAAATATAAATTTGCTGGAGACGGTTGGTGCGCAAGTGCGGAAAGCTAATAAACCCTAAGGAAGGGAGCAGGCCGGTTAATTCCCCTTCTTTTTCTTTATCAACTTGCGAACTTTGGGTTCTGCTTCCGAGAGAACGTTTTCACCCCGTTGCTAGATTGCCCGTTGCCCAAAGACTGACAAAACCTTCGCAAGCGGTTCCCACCCGTCTCCAAGCAAACACAATCAATTCCCTACTAATTTCTTCTTCTTTTAGACCTTCCTGGATCTTCTCCCCACCCCGGGCCCATCCTAATAATAACAATAACAATAATAATAATAATGCATTCCACAAAACAATATACTCATCAATGAAATAATTTCGATATATGCGTCCTTATTTTGTTCCTCTGTCCAACGGATCGACCAGGCTTGGGCAACCGTCTCGCAACCCTGGAAAAAGACGCAGGCGCGAAACTGAAGCTACGGGAAAAGACTTCAGCAAAGCATCTCTCCCGTCACCTAGATAACTGCGTTATGTATATGGCCATTTTACCTTTCGACAGAGACACCCCAGTATATTTTTTCCTTTGGGTACACACACGGCGTTCTTCTTCTTCTCTTCCTCCTCCTCCTCCTCCTCCTCTTCCTTCCCCAGCCAAACTAAGCGAGATCTTCGTGGTTTCGGGTCCTGTGGAAGACATTCAACAGAAATGAATCGGGAAGGGAGGGGGGGGCGGTTTAAATCATACAAAGTTACATTCTTAACTCCACCACCCCACCCCAAACACCACGAGATGCAAAGCTTCATTGTTCCTTTGTTAGAGTTTGCAGGGTCGCCTTGTTGTTATTGTTGCAGTAGTTGCTGTTATGTGTTTTAAGGGGGGGGGTCTTTTTCTTCCCACCCTCCCCGAAACTTTCCTCTCTAACAACCGCTCCTCACCCCCACCCCCACCCCGGTAGAACCTGGACCCACAATCATCCTTCATCGCCGTCGTGTAGGAGTCGAAAGCCCGTTTGCAGCGGAGTCTTTATTATGGCCATTATGACTTTCTAAGTGGGTTTCAGTGCCTTGTCCCCCTTGATGGAAGCGTGGGCAAGGGGAACGTAAGAACATAATGAAGCCCAACAGACGAGCATTTTAGTAGGGAGGGGGGCGAGGAAAGTTGCAGACGGAATCAAAACTCCCTCCCACAACCTGGGGTATTTCTTTAAATAAAGGAAGAAAGTGAAAGAAACGGCTCCTTGGAGGTGCTAAATTGCACAGGGGCTGGGATTTCTTTCCCCTTTCTCTCTCTTTCTCTTCTCTCTCCCCCCCCCTTGTTTACAGCTACAGAAGGCAAAAGAGCCATAAATCTTAAGACAGCCTACAGAGACAAGTGCATTTGTATGCATCGTTAGAACTTGCTAATACCTAAACCCATTAGCAAGCCATGTAGAATTCTAGTTTCCGGTGTCCATTAACTTACAGTTAAATTCTAGAGGAAAGGGCATGGCGATTAACATAAACTATATCCATCATATTGTTTGTCATAATAGATTAGTCAACTATAGAGATGCGTGCGCGCGCGCCTGCATGTGTGTGAAACTTTTCCTCTCCCACACACCACCCTCACCCCAAATCTCCTTAGCTGTGCGTTAGTTTCAAACGGGGGAGTCACTTGGTGTGTGTGGGATTTATCTATTTATTTGAGCGGGGAAACTTATGCACAAGATCGCCTATATGATATATATATAAGGGAAATCCTTGTGAGTTGGGGCAGACCGCCAGGCTCTTCTCCGGACATAGATTCAACACCCCCCCCCCACGAAACTGTTCTACAATTCCGGGGTGTGTGTGTGTTGCACCGGCATGTTTCCTCGGAAGGAAGTCCTCCAGGAATCAGCCGTGCTTCCTCCCACCGCATAGGATGGCGGCCTTGATGCCCTGCGAACCGTGAATGGGCCCATCAAGATTTTCTCCATGTATTTCCATTTTTTTTAAAAAATGGGGGGAAATGGTGCAATCTCCCCCCCTACCCCAGATTCACGTATGCTGTCCGGTTTCCTTTCCCTTAATCGGCCTCTTCTCTCCCTCCCTCCCCCCGCCCCGCATCCCCCATCCGATTCTTTCTCGTCCCTTGTCTTTGTTGAATGACGTTCGATTACGTCCCCGTCTCCCTTCCGAGCACCGAGCCCTCCCCTCCTTACCCCACCGCTCCTAACCACCACTCAAAGCAGCATAATCTGCTACTATTAAGCCAATACCACCCCTACTCTTCAACAACGACCCCCCTCCCCCTAAAAAAAAGCCTCCCTCCCCGCCTAGCCCCCTAGATGCACAGTCCCCCCTCCCCCCTCCTTGTTTAGGCTACGCGCAGAGATGTGAACTTTTGTAGCTCTGCTTTTCAGTCTTCGCCCGTGAAAGCGTTAAAGGTAAGGGGTCTGGAACTCGTATGCAGCAGCCGGCTTTTGTAGCGATGATTTATTGCTTCAATCTTGGTTCACCCAGAGTTCACATGGATTTGCTGCTTCTGAGAGCTAAAAGATGGTCTCACTTGACAAGTGTGACTATTCCAAATGCTTCTCTCTCTCTCTCTCTCTCTCTCTCTCTCTCTCTCTCTCTCATCTTCTCTAGTGCAAAATCGTTTATAATTGAACCTTAAAAAAAAAAAATCAACACCCCGATCTGCTTTTGGATGAGCAGGAATCAGGGATCTAATTGATTATAGATACTATATATAAATATATATATTTGTGTAGGTGCGCGTGGGGGTTGCGTAACAGGCACACATAATAATGTATAATATTTGCATTTAATATGTGCGTGTGTGTATCTGTAACAACACACGGAGCGCGACCACACGAGGGTCTTCAAACAAAAGGAGAAGAGGGGCTTAGAAGCACACAAAAAATCCCCCAACCCCACCACTTTCATCACCCTCCTTTCCCCACCCGATCTTTCTTTGTTGCTAATCTGGATTGGGGCGGGGGTCTGCCAGGCGAATATGGAAGGAGCCGGTTCTAACTCGCATCGTGTTAAATCTCAGAGAAATTAGGACTCCTTTCTTCTTCTGGGGTGGGTGGGGGGAGACATTGCATTATTGGTTCTGCCCTCCCTTACCCTTCCACCCTAAATGCTGTTGAGACGACCCCCCCCTTTAAAAAAATCGTTAAATATACAAGCAATAGTGGTGGCGTGGTTTTTTGGTGTGCTTTTTAAGGGATACTGCAGAATCATCACGCCTAGATTTGCATAACGTGACTTGCCTGCCAAGTACCCCTAAGCCTACAGCATTCTCTTGAAATGAATGGACCGAAATAGCTAAATAATAAATAGATAAACGAGGAGCCCATTGCCTACTGTATGGGGCTGTGGGATGCCCATATTTGTCTACAAGATAAAGCATTATGGGACTGATAATATCATGCTAATTTCCCAGAGAGCGAAAGTTTTTGTTTTGTTTGTTTTGTTTCTGTTTTGTTTTATCGCGTGGTTTATACTGCAGAGAAACCAGGGGGTTACCCCCCCTCAAAACCAAGGTTCAAAATAGCATAAATTACCCGCAGTACCCCAAAAAAGAAAAGAAAAAAGTCTCCTTTATAATAATCACATATTTTGGTTTTGGGGGGTATAGAAGGAGGCAGTCAGATATAACTACGTTTGAAACCGTTTGCAAGCAAGTCCCGTTGAAACTTCTCTAGAGGAAAAATGGTTTAAGATGGACCTGAATTTCAGGCCAGAACTAAATCCCCCAACCTTCAGTGCGTCAGTTCGGTGGCATGTCCTTAATTTCGTCCACAGCTAAATTAACCTGCGACTTTAGCGCTGGGCTCCTTCCGTACATTTGCTTGGGAACTAACGGTCCTGTGGATTCCAACGGGACTCGTGTCTAAGGCTTGATTGCAGCCTTGATTTCAACGGACCCTACTTCCAAGTGCAAATTCCCGTTGATATATGTTTCATCCAGTCTGCTTCTCAATAGTTGGGCCATCCAATCCATTTGAACATCCAATCCATTTGAATGATGGGCAGCTGTCAGTCACGACCACCTTAAAACATGCATTTGCTTGGAAGTAAGTCCCTTTTTGCACAGTTATCAGTGGGACTTTTACTTCTAAGTTTAGCATCGGGGCAGTCATCTCAACAAAATGAACTCGGTTCCTAAACAGAACGGCCACAGCCCAGCTCAGAATTAAACGCGCTTAGCCTCATAGAAACCAGCGTTGATTTCTGGCAACCCAGCCTTCCAGCTTCAATACTTTGTTGGATTGTGCTCTATATATATCCGCCCCCCCCGGGTTGGCCATGAGATTTGTAGTGGGGGGTGGGGGTGGGAATGACTGAGTGGATAGATGCTTGTGGTGACTCGGTACCAAATACCGATAAGGGTATGCCAACACGTGCGTCCACACACACACACACAATCTCTTAGCAAAAGCTTCTTGCGTTTATGCGAATGCGTAAGACTCCGAGTAGTTCTATCGAAGCCATGCAGACTCAACCACCGTGTCCCCCCCCCCCAAATGCTTATCAGTTCTAGAACTGAAACTCATCAACAAATAGAACAGGAAAACAAAACCAAAGTAAAAGCCTGATATAAAACTGTGTTTCATTAAAATAAAATATATTCTTTTTAAAAAATAGGTATTTCCCACCCATTCCCATTAAACTAAGTTTTGTCAGTGCGCTAAGTACTGAGACAGGGAAGTGAGATGAACTGGATTCTGTAACGAACTCTTGCGTGTAAAGAAAGGATTTGGAATGGGATCCTGGATCGGTGAGTGAGGAGAGGAGCCGCGTAGGTGGGTATAATACCCCATTTACAACGCCTTATTTTAAATCATCACCTAACTGTCCGGGATGCCCGCAAAAGTCGACATACGAAAAAGAAAAGTTGTAGACCGTGCGCTTATAAGCAAGAAGAGACCTCCCCTGCCGAAATAGTTTCAAAAAGGCAAACTAAAATGAAGTCATTTAGTTTGTAAAAATTAGTCTGTCTCTATTAATTTGCAAAAAACAAAACAACAAACAAACAAATAAAAAAAATCAGCTTTCAGTAGCAGAAATGCAAATATTTCTCAAAACAGTGTGTTTATGTAAGGGGGTGGGAGGGAAAAAAATGATGCATACATTAGGATGTATGGATCTTCCCGATCATTTCACTGGTAGCCTGAAATTTCGTGCAGGGATGAAGATGATTAAAAATGTGTTCCCTTGAAATCAAAAGCATGGTGATTCTTTGAAGGCAAGGGCCACGGGGTAGCTATTTCAGGGGGTCAGAAAAGGGCTACTTCTTCCCGCAATTTCCAATTAACATGTGGAACTCACTGCCACAAGATGGTGAGATGGCCATTAGCTCAGTTGGCTTTCAGAAAAGATTAGACAAGTTCATGGAGGGAAGTGTGGTAGCTAAAAGTTGTTGCCATGTCAAGAGGAAGTCTGTCTGCGACTATCAGTAGGTGGGAACAAAGAACAAGGGTTGACCACACCTGCCATCGTGCCTTGCTTCTGAGTTTCCAGAGACGTCTACCTAGGTATTGAATACAGACTGCTGGACAGATAGATTTGGGTGGACCATGTGACTCAGACCTTTAAGAAATAAATATAGCTAATGGCTTCAAATCCAGGCACTACTGACCTCAAGAATTACAAGTTCTGCTTCCCTGTCCTGAAACTTGAGAGACATGACATAGAAATAGCAGAATGATTAACTGCAGAGCCATGATTCAAACTAAATTCGTTGACTCTTTTTCAAAAAAAATCAGAATTGGATTAAAAACCAACATCCTCCCTAACCCTCACATTGTTCCTCTAAAATTAATTGTGGATGGAGCTGTTAATGATAAATATATGTAATAGCAGAGCCATTACAATGTGAGGGTTGGGGAGGATGTTGGTTTTTAATCCAATTCTGATTTTTTTTGAAAAAGAGTCAACAAATTTAGTTTGAATCATGTTATTTTTAAATGCCCAGCACTTCTTATAAGATCCACTAAAGAGATATATAAAACAGAATAAGGTGACTACTTTTGAGTCCCATACCCTTGAGTAACCTATGGCAAGCCCCCCCCCCCGCATCAAGGATTTAGCAGGATCAGCATGCTACTGGGGAGGGTTGGTTAAGTTCTCCTTAAAATCAGTGTGACTCCCAGGCAGGCCTGTCTCCTTCTTGCCCGACATTTTGGAATGGGAGGCTACACTAGTGAGCCCTGTAAGTCAGTGAGGAACAGCAAAAACATCAATGCAATTAATTTTAAAATATCTCTTAATAATAGCCATTATAACCCCATTATAACTTAGAAGTAAAACCACATTCAGTTTAGCAGGCCATACTCCTAAATAAGGGTGTGTAGGATTGCAGCCTTGATGTTATAAATGTTTTGAATAAAATAGTATTACACTTAAATAAAACTTTTCTTTTCTTTTTTTAATCGCCAAGTGCTTGACAAACTTTGTACTCACTGGCCAGAACTTTGGAACAGGGAAGCAGGTTTACTTTATACTTTATAGAAAAAAACCTACATAGTTTCCCTGTATGTTTCTATAGGTAAAACATGTTTTTTTTAAGTGAATGATAACTATCTTAGTTGGGCTTTTGAAATATCTGCTAAGGGGATTACAACTTTTAAGTGCTCCCCAGTCCTAAGTGCCTAGCTAATGAATATATTGTGATGAGAATATTATTCACCCAGAACTGCTAGACTCTATCTCTCTCTCTCTCTCTCTCTCTCTCTCTCTCTCTCTCTCTCTCTCTCCCTCTCTCTCTCTCTCTCCTATCTGTATATATCTATATCTATCTATCTATCTATCTATCTATCTATCTATCTATCTTCTATCTATCTATCATCTATCTATCTATCTATCTATCTATCTATCTATCTATCTATCTATCTATCTATCATCTATCTATCTATCTATCTATCTATCTATCTATCTATCTCTCTCTCCAGGGCACCTCTCAAGTGGGCGCCATTGCCATAATAAGAGAACAAGGGAGGCATTCATAGTGAGTTCCAGCACCTATTTTTCTAGAAAAATAGCACTATCTATATCAATATCACACATGTAAAAATAATGCAATTATTCTAGTGCAAGCCAGCAAAAGTCAAACTGTAATCAATGAGATTCAAGTTTGTCAGTCCTTATAATGGTACCTTAGTCACAGCTACTTTTTGCACCCCTCATAAGTAAGC